AAATTGGCTAGCTTACACATGATGGCTTTATATCTAAATGTAACTTTTAGATGTTAAAAACAACGTCCTATTGCTGCAGCAGCTGGTCAAATTTTCATACAGTGTCCTGACAGATAAAGATCATATTAAAGCAGTCGATCAACTTACGAAACCAGTTGGGTTTGCGTTTGCGGCGCCAGCTTCTTCGCCGATGGTCTGGCGCTGCTGTTGGTGATATAAAGAAAAGAAAGAGTTATTAAAGGGCACATTATTGTTATGTCAAATGCATGTAATAGTATTAGCATGAATTTTAAAGCTCATCTGTGTTGGTACAATTATTCACATTGAAGTTTGAGAACTTTCGTTCAACACAATAGACATTGCTCAGCTCAAATTTTCGGCCGCATTATGATGATATAGCATCGACCATTCAGCGATATAGCCTTCGCAAATGGCAACGACCGTTTCATATACAAGACGGAAACACAGCTGACAATGTGGTAGGTGCTCAGACCAAAACCATAAATGATATCCCTGTATGTCCTAGGTACACATCATGTTCAAACGCAAGAAAAGTACATGACATTTTACGGAAACTTCAGGGGCATAACAAAGTATACACGTAACACATTTCTCCGTACATACAAATGTATTTCACTTGGTAAAATGACTGGGATTTTGTGACAAGAGGGACCGATCCATAACTAGCGCCATCTAGCGAACCTCTGAAACATTTTCATAAAGCACGGGAAATTTGAAATAACGCCCCGAAGAGTACCGACCCAAACTGCGATAGCTATATAGATAGATTGGACATCAGGCCAGAAAACATTCCTAATCAATCGGCATGAGTAAGTCACGATTTCTGTTGTTGAGATTCGTTCTATGGGCAAGATGAAACTGTGTAACGAACAATACTGGAAGTATAATTGGGCTCACCGGTGTTGTTGATAGCCATTCTCTTTAGACTGAGAGCAAGTCGATAGCAAGAGTCACAAGGACGTAATCGCGTAATAGTCACAAGGACGTAAACTGAACCCTCAACGAGAGTGAGCTTGGCCTGCTCGTCAGGCCTTATATACCCAGACGCGCTGTCCCGATCTAGACACGACGTCTAGACGGAGCTCCTAGACGTGTGTCTAGACAAGGTCCAGACAAGGTGTGGCTGCAGGCTTCTGTGTTCGGCCTGAGATGGACAGAACTACCTCCATGCCGCTTCGATGACTTCTTTGGAGCAAGGGGGTTTCTTCTTGTTTGAGGGCAGTGGCAAATTATTATATTTAATCCCATGTCTATCGAACAACAATCTAAAGCAAGTATGGAGGCTTTTCATATCCACCATGTTGGATTACAGTGCATGCCTGTTCAGTTTACCCGCCAACACCAGGTCGTCGAGATTCATATGATAATTATGATGACGTCAATGACGGTGGTTATACTTTAGGCAGCGCCTATGTGTGTTCTTCACCAGGATAACTCAAGAATGGCAGGATAGATTGGTCTCATATTACGCATATGCAATAAAAGCAGAGTTCCCTGGACTGTCATATGAAACTTTTATTGGTACATAAGAAGGCTTATTATATAACATGTATGTTCACAACAAAACCCCGTGTTGGTGAAATAGTATCTATTAAGTTATATCAACAAAAATATATGAAATGTTAAGTAATAGAAGTTAAATGAGAAGTTAATAATAGGTCTATCTTGTTAGTGTAACGTTACAGTCATCCATGATAATTTTGTGTATGTTTTGTTTGATGTTGCCGTTCTGATGATTAGTGCAACAGTTTCTAAATATTCAGTCTATTCACGTCATCACATTGTCGATTTTGTAATCTTATTATTGTGATAAAATTACGGATGTGTTGTGTATGGAATTGCTGATAACTCGTCACTGCAGTAACCAGAGCTACCCGCCAGACGTCTCTATTGACAGACCTGCCTTGCTCCTTGCCCTGATGTTTATTTAGGCTGTCCAATGAAAACCTTTGTTACAAGGCCTGCGTATTTCTTGTCCAATCAAAAATGTTGTTGCAAAGGACGTGGCCAGTTTTGAACAACAAGCGCGAAGGTGTGGGTGACAGCAGCTGAATAACAGGGGTCATTTGACGTTATGTAGCAAACATTTGCCGTTTTTATGGTTGTCAGTTCCAAAGACTACACTCTTACCAACCGTGAAGCGAGGTAAGATTCGATTATCCGTATTTAGCGTTAGCAAACTTCAGTAACCGATCTGGGAAAGAAGTGGGGTGGGGGGGCGACCAGCAAAAAGTTATGGTAACTTTTGTGTTTACAAAAATAATTTTGATCCATGAGAAAGAGCACGGAAGTTTGCTGTGTTTGTTTTCAAAAACACAGGGTATGTAAGGCCAGAATGTAATATGGTTTCATCCACTCACACCGGGATGGACTCCTAAATATATCGATATGTGACGACTGACGAATTTCTTATAAACGTTCTCGTCTTCTCGAGGTGTTGCTCTCGGCTCTCCAAGCAGAGGTTTTGTTTTGGCTTATTTTTTGCTTGTTTTTAGGCTTTTTATTGGGGTTTCTTTTTTACACTGAAATTGCGTGAAAAAAATTCCTGTGCAAAAAACAAATTTAACTCCGATAAAAAAAATGCCAAAAATAAGCCAAAACACAAACCTCTGCTTGGTAGTGGCTCTCCTCAAACACGGGACCTCCTGTTTTACATATGACTGAACGTCGCAAACCGAAGGCCTATTATACTAAGGCCCGATTTAGACTAGAAACGGTATACCGTTTCGAAACGGTACGAAACGTTTCGCCACAGAAAACGGTTCGTCTTTAGACACAGAGGCGGAAGCGTTTCGGGCCGCCCGTGGCGCAGGATGTTTCCTACCCACAGTGACCTATGATGACCTCCCCAAACCGCTTCTACGGTTTGCCTCATTGGCCTTACGATACTTATGTTTCAGGGCATTGAACTTCGCCTGAACCTGCTTTGGGGTGCGTAAATACCCCTCAGCCGCCAGCCCGTCCACAAGCATCTGTATGCCCTCCCTACGCGAGGTCTCCAAGCGGAATTGTATAGTTTGATCGGCCCACAAGCTGATAAAGCAGCGGATCTCTTCTTGGGTCCAGACCCTCCCCTGGCCTTCTGCCATCCCCCCAGACATAAAGGATGACGAAAATTCGAGAAATACATGATATAAAATGGCGAAAATGGACACAATCGAATATGGCGCGAATCTACCAGAAAATGGACGCGCGCGGGCTTATTAGCATGTGATTAGCATATGACACGTGACCTGGTTTACCGTTTCAAGAAACCCTTTGACTTTAGACCTAGCAAAATGCGTTTCGGGCCCCCCGCTGAAGGGTTCTGAAACGGTCGAAAACCACGATGGAGGTGGTTTTCGGAAACGGTCCGCGAAAACCCATAACAAACCGTTTTTCCCTCTTTAGACCGGGAACGGTTAACCGTTCCGAAACGTTTCCCTGGCCAAAACCCCTTAAGCGTTTCTAGTCTAAATCGGGCCTAATTTTCACATAATGCAGTGAAAAAATAGGTGTAAAGAGCCTTTCCCAAGGTAACAACATTGGGACCTGCTAGGGACTGAACTCATGAGAGGGCCTGCATGGGGGGTCCCAACTAGTGATGCATACCGGTTCACTGGACTTGGATCCGGACTTGTAAGAATGTTTAGGTTCAAGTAAAAAAAACCTAAAAGTCAAGAACCGAGTCCGGACTTATTACCATAAAAGACCATTTCACATACCCCTTTTCTTTCCAAACCACCTAAAACCTTCCGTAGATTGCAAAATCTTTGCTGCAAATGAAGAAAACATTGCCATCGGGCATTGTCAAGTACCGGCCTCCATGTTATGTGGCCAAAGTTTCACCCAGACAACATTGCAAGGTTGCCAACATGCAATTTTGTGTATGCCATGGGTTTAGGTCCGGACTTACAAGTCCGAAACTGAACCTAAACCTCTGGACTTGAATCCGGACCTGAACCTGAAATTGGGTTTAGGTATGCATCACTAGTCCCAACAATGCTCTAGGACAAGAAGCTTCGGAAGTTCCCCATTATGTTTTACGATAAATTCCAGGTAGCTACAACACATTACGTAGAATTAAAACAGCGAATTACGCTCTTTGCAAAATGTGTCAATTACAACGTTGAACTGGAGCGGTCTGTGTACGTTCTACTGAGTGAGAAAGGGGCATGTGGGCCTCCTGATGATGATTCTTGATTTTACCCTTAACACTAGACGACTGGTTGTTTTTCCAGCTTCTCCAGGTGTGTGTATAAGATGGCGACCATCCCCACCCACCTGTTGTTACTCTGTAATGACCAGGTCCAGGCTTATTTCTCTGATGGTTCCAGGCTCCAACTCTCCCCTTGTGGGTCTGTGTTTGTCTGCGAGACCCCGCCCAACCCAGCGCAACATGCACTTCAAGGTAAGGAGATACACACAGGTATTGAAATACACAAGAAAATGCTCAAACTCAAGCAACTGTCAGACATTTCAAGTAGCATTCACTACTTGTTGTCAGTGATATTACCTTGTGTAAAGAGAGTACAAATACAGTACAATACATGCAGTTTACCAAAATAAAAGTTGCATGAGGACATTTCATTTTCAATGTCAAATTATGTTGGAAAACAGATTGAACAATGTTTTATTGCTCAAGTGTCAGATCATGGAGCTTGCAAAGGTTAATCGGCTCAAAAAATTTATGCTTTAACCTTGCAGGGGTCCACACAAAAAAGGCTAGGATCGCCTCTGCAGTTTTTTCTAGGGTTAGTTCGGGAAACAGGAAACACCACATTTTTTCCCTAGGCCTAACCTCCTTGGTAGTACTCTATCAGTAGTGCTAGAGTTTTGTGTGTGTGTGTTTTCTCAGGTGTACGTCGGGTCCAACAGAGGACAAGGTTTGTGACGAGTGAGTTCCGTTGCCGAGTCCTGCAGGCGCTGGAGTTCAGGAACAGGTTCTGTGAGCGACCGTACCTCTGTCCTGAACTGGTGCAGCCAGACAGAGTCATTGTAAGAACTGCTAGTACATATGTCTTTTCCTAAAGCTTACAACATGCAACATATACAGTGTTACTGTTAGAAATACCCATCTGCAGTCTGCATTTTGCAGAGACATTTTCAATATTGCAGAAGAAAAATTAAGCAAATTTGCAGACTGTAAAAATCAGGTTAGGTGGTTCAATGGTGTTTAAGAGCTTTTGTATTTACTACTGATTATGATATACAAGTAAAGCTGGTATTTTACACCAACGGGCGGTTATACCGGCTATACAGATACAAATACAGAATCGTTGAGCAACAAAAATTGGATTTGTGTGACATGTAATTTCAATAGCAGAATACTTGTAGCTAAAAATTAAATAAGTGTCATTTTTCTCTTTGTCTTTAGAATTCTTGCTGTGACCTGACACAGGTCAGCTGGCCTTCTACACTTGGTAACAACAACAACACAACGCCCCAGGACAGCGGCTCTGTTACTGTCACTTCTCTGGACAGCCTGGCCACGCTGTGCCTCGCTCCTCATGGGAAGGAGTTCACAGTCAAGTTCCTCTGCAGAATCACCAACGACCTTCAAATAGACAATGACACAATAAAAAGTTCAAGGTCAAACAATCACCTAGACATGTCAAACCCTCCCCATCTAGGAAATCAGGTATCAAAGCAGGATGACGAACAGAAAGCACCAGGTAAAAATGAGGTTGAGGGGACCAGTTCTAGTTGTACGTGGGTCGTTCAGCATCACTCTGTGGACTTCTGCCCAGAATGCTGGATCCATCCACTCAAACTGGCTCAGAAGGCCCAGAAAATGTCTGGGAATGAAGGAAAGAATGCAGCCATTGTCTCTGAGAACTTTGCTGATGGACAGAATGAGAGAATAGATGAAGGAGGACAAGAAGTTGTGACAGGGAGACTGCCAGAGGCGTTAAGGTCGTCCTGTAAGGCCTCACACCTGCATAACTGGGCCAAACCACTGGTACCAGGGGGAGGGACAGAAGAGGGGACTATCCTATGTCAGCAGCAGGGGGTGAAGGTGTGTGCTCTACAGGGGGTGCTGTACAGGTATGTCACAAGCTGTGAGTGTGAGATAGTTCTAGAGGACTTGTTTATCTTGGAGCGTGACATGTACTAGTACTAGAGTAGGCATTTGAGTTCCAATATTAGAGTTGACAATAAGTTAGTATGACCACAAATTAAAGAAATTGCTGAGCAAACATTCGAGTGCATCATGTACTTACTACATTGTAGTAATCCTCTTTGCTCCTGTGAAGCATAAGACACTTCTCCAGTTGCTCTGATCTTTTGCCAGCCACCTGATCTCGTGCCAGATCTTTGTCACTACGTTTATTTACTTCTTATTGTCGATAGAGGCCTGCTTCTCTTGTGCTTTACTTTGGGAGTCCATATGGATGCCTTCTTGTTCATTTGTAGAATGTGCCCAAGCCATCTAACCATATGGCTAGTACCAGTTAGATTTATTTTGTTTAATCTAAATTTCCCAGGATCCTGTGGGGCAGTGGGAGGTGTGTTGAGGTGTACCCTGGGGACGGATCTGTGCTGGTGTCGCAGGGCATTCTGGGACATTTCTTCCACCATTACAAGTACAAACCAGCCACAAAACAGGTAAGGGGATATAAGTCTTACATCATATATATATATGCTTATGCAGGTTAGTTCAGGTAAAATGGAGCTGTGCAGGGGTTTATAATGGCTAATCTAAACTGTACTGGCCTTCAACTTACATGTATATCTTTACATTTGAATGTTACACTTTTATTAAGTACCATAGCAAAGTTTTATTCCAAAATGTACATATCAGTCACATGAATTTCGCATGGCATACAATGGCCACATAGGTCACCTTTACAGGTTGTCATATAAGATTTGTGTCATTGCCCCACTACAGTTGCAGCAGCATGTCCTGTGTGTCTCCAGCCTCCCTCCAGACCTGCCAGGAGCTGTCTACTCTACAGCCAGACTGGTCAACATGGCTGCAAGGTACACTGTACATTATTCTGTGGAGTAGACATAAAAAAAACTTTTTTTCTAGAACGATAGTAGAGTAGAACTTATTGCTGGCAAGTACAGTATCATCACTGGATACTGACAGCTTTGAGTATAACATCCAGTTAACTTTTTCTCAAAAGACTTGGTAACTGTCCAACAGCTTATCTTTATCCCTTCTCTCCAGACTGTTGGAACACAGTAACAACCTGGTGACATCAGGAGCAACAGTAGCTACCAAATGCTGCTGGAAGGTGAGTACTCATTTCCTGAAACTAGTCATGAAACTAGTCATGTCATGTTAAAAGCATATTGTTTTTGCTCTGTTTCCTCTTCTTCTAATCCAAACCAAAAAGGTCAATGACCTGAACCAGATGCCTGTCACCTTGGTAACTAGTGTTGGGTTACATCATGTTGCAATTTTATAGCAGGAGGGATTTAGACTGCTGTCACCATGTATACATGTATGAATGTGTTTGAGTAAGAATCAACAGAGCAGACCATATGCGAAGGTTAACATTATGCATTTGCTTTGAAAAAATTACTTTTCTAGTTTATATATTTCATCAACCATGGGCTTCAAGTGCTGATGCATGGTGGTATTTTATGATGGAGGCTTCACTGTATTGATTTGATGATTTCTAATTGCTGAACTCCCAGGATGCCCCAGCAGCTGACCCCGCCCCTCCCCTTCCCAGCATGCTGTTGGAGGAGAGTGAGGTTGCGGGGCTGGGCAGGTTCCAGGCGTACTCGGACGGGAGGGTTCACGTCGTGTTCCAGGACAGAACAGTGCTGGACACGGTGTTCGACTTCTCCAGAAGGGTCCAGAGATGCAAACGGCACAGTCCAGAGAAAGTGGAAAGGGTAAACAGGCCTTGAAATTAACTTTTCTTCCTATTGTCCCAGCACTGTCCCAAAAATAAATTTCAATTGTCCCGAAGTGAGAATGAACTGTCCCAACCTGTTTTTTGGGAAGTGACTTCAACTTGAAGTCAACTTTATTTTGCTTATGTTCACTTCTATCCACAGGAAGGCCTACAATTGCATTGTAGGCATGAAATTCGGGGTGACTTTTCCAGATCCAAAAGCCGGGATGTGTGCCTGATAAACAAAAGAAGGGCTGACATTCTGATGTTGATTATTTTTCTATTGTTCCAAAAATGTCCCAAAGTGTCATTTCAGTTGTCTCAGCCTAAATTTTAGTGGTCAGTGGCCATTGGACCACCTTTCTGATGTTTTGCTGTTCTATTGAATAAGTTCAATTTGTTTTTCTCATGCAGGCTTTTGATGCAGTACAGAGGTCTGTCAGTAGAGGGAGCCAGTGTTTGGCTACAGGCCAGGTGTGCAGATTGTTGCTGCCCAATGGGCAGTACTGTACTGTACCACAACATGCACCTGGGCACTTACACAGGTAATAATGCATCTCCTAGCTGACGTATGGCTTCATCTTGTTTTTCTACTCTAACAATCTTTTTTATTACTTTGTATTAAATAATTGTATGTCTCATGTGTGTATTGTGGGATTCAGACATTAAATAGCTTTGATGTCAAACATTTACATGTACCAACACACTTATTGAGAAGAGGAAGACCCGGTGTACCTGTTTTGGTATGCCATGCCAAAGCCACAGTGCACTACCCACCTGCTACTTGAAAAAAACATCATGTTTCACATCAGGTACTGAAAGATGACTGCTTTACATGTACCTTTGAGGACCTTTTTTAATGCATTTATGTTTTTTTCACATGTATTCCATCTATAGACTCAGTCTGACTTTGCTAAGAATAGGACAGAGAGGTTCCCACAATGAAACATGGAATAACCATCAATTTGCTTGAAAACATGCTGAGCATGACACTGACCGGAAAATATCTCTAAATTGAGTCAAGAAGTGTCAAACAAACCCTGCTCTGTGCAGTCCTGGTATGCCATAAATGTCATCCTGTGATTTGCGCCAGGGAAACCCTACAGCTAAATGATTCATCTTCATCTTACAGGCTTTGAAGTCAGAGTACTGTATCTGTAGTGGGTCCATGTGGACCTACAATGTTAGTTTTGCTCTAACAGATGCCTTTAGGTGTAACACGCAGGTGTAACTGCGGTTAGGTGTAACACACCAGTTTTGTAAAATAAGCTGTACAACCTGTGTAAGACCAGACTGTGAAGTTTGGTCCACTCTTGACCCCAACTCTTGTTAATTAAACCAAGGTATACACTGTGTATAATGTCCTTGATTAAACAAGTACGATGGGATCTGCTTGCTAAATCAATGCTTGAGGTGTGGCTCTCCTCAAACATTGGACTTTCAGCTTTATGTTCCATCCGAGATGACATCCCTAACTGAAGGTACTCATTGTCACCTGAGTGGATGGATGTAGGCATTCGTCAGTCTTACAAGACCATGAAGTAATTCCTCACCTGAGTATAGTGAGGAAATAGGTGTAAACTGCTCTTCCTAAGGCCACAATATTTGGGCCTGCCAGGGAAATGAACTCGGAACCTTTAGAGACAACCCTGACCACCAGAAGGGGCTTTTCTGAAATTCACGATCAGCCCCCTGTGATGGAACAGTAGCAGGCCTGGTGGTAGTTCATGTTCCCAGCAGGGGTGGAGAACTCCCAGTCACCCATGACCACCTGTGTAGTTTAACCTCACCACAAACCTGCAGAAGGGGGTCAGATCTCCACAGGGGGGCACAGCAACAACTCTGGGCAGTTCTCAACTTTCTGAGGAAGCAATTTCTTACGCTGGTATCCATCCATGTTAGTGTTAGAATGCAGTCTGCATTTTGCAGAGAAATTTTCAATGTTGCAGAAGAAAAATTAAACAACCTGCAATTTTGCAGACTGAACAGTTCTTACTTCTGACTTTATGATATGATATGATATGACTTAACTTCTGACTTTATGATATGACTTAACATGTTAAACTTGTGTCCTGCTGTAGTTATGTGGAGGCAGCTGTAGAGTGGGCAGGGTGGGTGAACTGTACACCACAGGAGAGAGCTGACTTCTACAGGGGAACTGTGTATGATCCGGAGAAGAGGGGGTAACAATCATCTTACAATGTATTTTATCAATTAATTTATTTTCAATGTTACCTGCACAAGTTTGCAGTAGTGCAGGTATCCAGAAAAAAAGGATTTTGAGCCCTGACTGTGAATTCACAATAGAAAAATAAAGGCTTGTCATTTGTACCTTATAGGTTTATTTTGTGCAGAGAAGGTGAAAACAAAGAAACTTTGATCATAAGTAATAATGCCTCTCACTCTATCAGTCATTCTACTATAAACATTCAACTCCCAAACTTCATACCATCTTCATATTATAAACTTCAATCTGAACTCCACAGAATGACAGTCATGCCCTTTTTTCTCAACAGAGCTATTGCAGCAGAACTAAGCAAGATCAAGTGTTTCAACTGTATCCTTTTTTTCTAGTTATACCACTGCAAAAATTTTTGTATTGTGTAATTAAGTATTGACAGGCCAGCATGCATCGGATTCTTTTATTTGAGACTATAAGGAACCAATGATAGGTAAGTTGTAAATCATTTATAATATCTAGTTATTAACCATACACTCTTATATAGCTGTAGATAAACAAAAAACAAGTTTAGGCAACCAACTGATCAACGTTAACTGATCATGATGACTACATGTACATACATGTAGCACTTACAGATGTACATGTGTATGCACAGTACATCTATATAGTAAGCTACTTGAGAGTTAGAACTATTCAGTAGATACTAGAGGAATACAATAATTACCACAATGCCATACAACTGACAAAAACTATGGTAACCATACTTAGTCTAATTATAGTACTGATAGCATCTATAGTATTTACATCTTTCTCCCTTCAGCTGAAGGCAATCTTTTCAGAATTCATCCAACACACACAATTACAACACAAGGCCTTCATCACAAATTATTCAACATCTTGCCTATACAAACAAACCTAAACTGTCTCTAACTTGCCGTAAAATACATTTACTTGAACACGGCATATTATTACGTATGTGTAGCATTAGTGTACGTGTATATTTATGAATCATGGTATACAGAAATTCAGTCAAACTGACACAGGCTGTGTTATTAAGTTTATGCCAGTAACTTAGAATTGACAATACAGACCTGAGGTAGTTACAGTTCAAACCAGAAAACTATATCCATCTGCTTGATTTGTTGTAATGTCTAGATGACTTGTATTGATTTTGAACGGGTCTAATTTCTGTTGCAGCTACAATGCATTTGTCATACATGTACATGCCTAATGCAAGCATCATGCATATGTACACAATGTACATGTACATCTGTAGATAGCTAGGATAGGGTAGAGTCTTTCTGTGAAACCTTGCCCGCCCTAGTGCCGTGGCATGGTGGCTAGAGTGTACTGTATATTTCTGACCTTGTCCTCAAGGTCAGTCACCTTGTACCCCATGTCGTCCACCGACCTCTCCACTTCGGTGAGTCCGCGCAGCTTGTCCATTTTTGGCACCATGTCGACCTTCAGGTCTTTGAGCTCGTTCTTGATGTCGTTGACGGTGCTGGTGAGTTGTCCGTGGCGGTCCTCCCACTCCTGTCGCAGCTCTGGTCCGATGGCTTCAGAGTTCATGTAGATGGCGATGTACTGCTGTATGGCATCAGTAGCCTGCATCACCTGCACAGGGTGGGATAAGGACAAGATGTTGAGGTAGTATGGATGTGTGCCTGAGGACTTTGGGGAAATCTTAGAAGTACTAGTTAGACTTCCATGTATGTATGGTCATTTAATTTTTTTTGTAAGTACCTTAGTGGAAGACTATACTATAGCATAGCCAAAGTTTTATGACATAACCATGATGTCATCTTGAATACCACGTTGGCAGAACATGCTGCTCCTGCACGAAAAACCTGATTTTTCATGGTTTTCGCTGGATGTTTGAATTTCCTTTGAATACCTAACTCTAAACATTGTCTCATGATAATGCCCTACTGTATTTGGTGAGTTCCACTCTGCGATAGTTCTAGGAAAGAATGAGTTTTTAAACACCTCAATCCTTGGTTAATAACTCTATCAAAGCAGATTCTCTATGACACACCTGTGAGACGAGTTTCTCGTGTTCCCCTAACATCTTGTAGACTTCTGTCTCCCTGCGCTGGAACTCGGTGATGAAAATGTTGTGTCCACGAACTGTCCGGTCCAGGTTGGTCACTTTCTCTGGCAGCAGTCGGGTAGCTTTGATGTGGTCTTGTAGGTGACTGGACAAGTCTACATTTCGCCATAGGAATTAATCTTATTTTTGTGCCAATAATTTTCATGGTGGTGAACAAAGAAAAGATTTTGGAGGCTAACCCAGACAGTCTATCACCATGGTAACTAATGTTGGGTTTCATCATTGTTGCAATTTTATAGCAGGAGGGATTCAGACTCCTGTCACATGTACATGTATAGCCCAAAAGAGCATTTTTGCCTAAAAAATTGGGAATCACGAAACGTCGACCGATTTTCACGAAACCAACTTTTTTGGATGCGGGACGATCCACAGATATCAGCCATACACTTGATTTTTTCAAAAAGCATAATTTGCCCGAATAAGCCCAAAAGAGCATTTTTGCCTATTAACAGAGCAGACCATATGCAAAGGTAAATATTATGCATTTGCTTTGCAAATGTTACAATGTATCTTTCTAGTTTTATTTGAACCACCTTACATTTGGAGATATGACATGGAGTGCCAACGAGGGAACCTACCTTGCATGTCATGAGTGCTGACTTCATTGTCGTTGGTGCTGAATGTGGTTGAAGGAGACAGCAGGCTGTTGGTTCTCTGTGGCTTCTCTATCGTCAGTGGAGGCAGTTTCTCTCCCCCAGGCACCATGTTCTACAGAACAATACATTCAACAGTTAACACTTACAGAACAACATGTTAAACAGTAAACAACGCACAGCTGACAGTTCTTCTACGGAACATGTTCAACAGTTGATTACACAGATCTAGGGCTGACAGTTTTACATTAAACACAGATCTAGAGCTGACAGTTCTACACACAGCTGGCAGTTCTACAGAACAACGTCATTGAACATGTTCAACAGTTAACAACACAGAGTTCTAACAGCCAAGAACACGCAAGTCAGCTGGCAGTCCTTGTCAGAAGCCAAAACACTGACGGATAAAGCAAAAATGGAAATTCTTATAACTGAAGGGCAAACAAGAAACCAAGGATTTCAATCTTCAAGGAAGAATTTAGAGTTATTTTGAATTTCTTGCTTTATCCATTATTGTACATTTCTTGCTAATTCTGTGATGTTACATGTTATGTTATGCAATGTTCTGTAATGTATTGTTGCCCCACTGACTTCCCCATGTAATCAACTGTAACACTGATAGACAAGACTGTTCACAACTGGTAGTACTGATGGTGATGGAAATTACTGGTAATGTGTTGTTTTCCCAGGACTCTGTCTCCTCTAATCTGTTCCAGCCCAACAGTTACAGCCTCAGGGCAGGGGATCAACATGAAGTTCAAAGTTCTGGCAAAGGTCATGATTTTGGGAGCGTGGGCCTTAGGAACAGCACAGGGGGCCACCATAACAGGTTGTTTTGTCACACTGAGCTTGGTGTGAATTAGTTCCACTTGTAGGATCTGTGACAGGTGAGAGCCACCGGTCATGGCTAAGTTTAAAAGTGGGTTAGGTTGATCCTTGTATGAAGGACCAATGGTCATGGCTAAGCCAAAAAGGGTAAGGTTTAATCTTCCTATCATAATCACTTGCACTTGTAGGAAGCTTACAAGGCCATGGGTTTGTAAGAGGGTCGCATAAATCCTACTTATCTTTAATCATTTCCACTTGTACAATCTCTGACCAGGAAGCTACCAAGGTTGGAGCTTTGCAAGCAAAGAAATTTATTGCTTTTGTAGCAAATGTTTTCACAATGCCTCTTTCTATATCATAAAGCATACAAAGTATAGGAATTGAAATGTGAGCCAAAACAGATCACCTGGTCTTCCTGAGTTACATGTACTCTTTGATATTATGGGAGACAGTACTGTTCATAATTTATCTGTTTCATACAAACTGTATTTTCTATAGCCTTTAAATAGGACTGATTTGAGTAGTATCCAAGCAGTTGAGACTTTGGGTTTCAAAGTCTCAAAGTTTATTGGCCAGGCTTTACTAGGGTAATGGCTGTCAGAAAACATTTAATGATTTTCCAACCCAACATCTGCTTGGAGGTCATGCTCGGGGCCAATGACCTAGAGGTTAATAGCTTCTGCTACTGGTATATGTAGGTCAAAGCCCTGCCTTGAAATTGTTGTGCTGACAGGCCAGTGATTGGGGCATGTAATCTGTCCTGGGTCCTGTCATCACAGCTGCTACAGTGCCAGGTTAGTTTCAGTCCTGCTGACTTGTAGTTGGACATAAGTACTGTGATTATATGTGGATTATGGCTAAACAAGGAGGTACAGTTCATGAGTATCATTACAGGATTAGACAGGCATGTGCCTTGCTAATTCTCAGACTGTCCTTTTCTGAAGGGTGGTCACTTCAAAGACATTACAGGACCATGGAAAAAGTAGCCCATGAATGAAAGTTCTCAGCCTTGGACAAAAGAGTCTGCGTTTTTTGTCCTCATGGCCTTTGGCTAGGATAATTCCAATGAATGTAGCTGATCCTAGTTTTTCATAGCAATGCTTCTATTGTAGGGATATTGATGACAGCAGACTGCAGTCCTTTAAAACAGTCTGTCACTTACCTTCTTCACATTAAGAAGTCTAATAAAACTTGGCATCTGTACAGTAACAGTTATTGGCCATTGACATGTTTCTGTATGTAACTTCATATGTATAGCATAGGTATGCTTAGTCAGTGGCTATGTCCCTCTATACATGTAGCAGTGTATGAAACCTAGGTTCCTACCTTGAGTTGGTTATACTTCCAGCCCAGCTGTGTGGTGACCATGGAGTGTTTCAGGTCCAGCTCTCGCACCTGTCTGTCCATGATCCTCATGTCCCGCTTCGTTGTCTCCATGTCGCGCTGCGTCTGCCCGACCTCCGCCCCCTGCTTCTCCACCACTGCCTCCACCTCCTTCGTTGTTTTTCGCAGGCTCTCCAGAACGGACGCCTGCTTGCTGATAACCATGCCCTGCCCCTGGAACAGGTCTCCCAGGCTGGTCAGTCGCCGTCTCTGCAGGGACAGTGTGTCGTTGGCGTCGAGGAAAATCCTCCGCAGTGTCCTGATCTCCTCGCTCTGGGAGGCGACCAGCTTACCCAGGCTGCCGATGGAGACGTCCCTCCTGGAATCTCTCCTGGACGGGTCGTTCTGAAATCCCGGGCGGTCGCTCGTGCCGAGCTGTGCGAGCAGGGCGCTGTTTTCGATGAGCATGGCCTCCATGCTGCTGCCCTTCTCCTGCAGCCTGAACACCACGTCTCTCAGCATCCGGTTCTCCGTCTCCAGCTGGTCCATCTTCCTGGTCTGGTTCTGGATGATGTGGTCCAGGCTCCAGCCATAGCCGCTCGCCTTCGGGATCAGAGGCGTTGTGGTCAGGATTTCCTGCACCGCGGGCTGTCCCGACCACTTGCTCTTGAAGAGCGTCGCGCTGAGGTCCGAGAAAGTCTTCAGCATCTGCTGCTGCTCCTTCTCCAGGCGGTCGTTCCGGTCCTGAAGGTCGCGTAGTTTCCCGGCCTGGCTCCGCAGCTGGTTCTTCAGCTTGTGGTTCTGGGCCTCGAACACGTCGGTTTGGATGCGGAATTTCTTCTGTAGCTCCTCGTAGTGGTTCTCCAGCATGGCCACTTTGCTGTGCAGGCTGCTGGGGTCTGATGGGGTGGTGAATCGATGAGCCCATGCCATCTCCAGACACACACACATCACCAACAATGCAAGTGGACCTGCCATCTCCAATCACTGCCTGAAACAATAAGAACAAAATCAGCTGTAACACATAAAAACTTGTTCCTATGACCAATCTGCAAGGACTGGTCATAAAAATCAATTTGAAAAGAGTCTAGATATCCAAATAGTCTTCGTGACATTTGCTTCTAGGTACCGGTGTTGCTGTAGCCAAGATGCAAAATTCCTATCTAAAAAAAGCCAGACTGGCTGGCAGACAATTGTATCTGTCATGATCATTGTGATCCTTCCGATGCCAATTTAACAGCAGGACAGAGACCTAACTCCTCCAACTTTTGGCTGAAACTTCAATCCAATCTTGCTAAATGGCAGCTTAGCCAAAAACGTACAGCACCTGCAAGTTTTTCAATGGTTTCGTGCTACCGTGGAGAACCTGGATGTCGTGACAATTTGTGCGGAAATGAAGAGAAAGGGTCTTGGCCGCCGCACAAAGTCGACTGGCTCTCGTACAAAGTAGAGTCTGCACCTGTTAGGTTCTATACGCCAAGGTTTATTTGCGTCTTGAGTAGAGGAAAGTCATGCCTTTTTCATTAAGGTTTGGCTTCCGTTCAAGGTGTTTCCTCAAGGCCACATACCATCACAAAACACCTTCAAACATAGCCGCACCCTCCGCATGCAGACAGTTCAAGGATGGCATGTTTTTGGAAAATAACCCAATAGGAAGTTTCAGATTCTAACAAATGTGATTCTTGTAAACAACAAAATAACAGGAGAAAAACATTTTGAGGTTAATCAATGGTTCTGAGCCAGTGTCTGTGTGATGTGGATGTTGGCAGACCAGTGCTCCTGCCATATGGGTATTTTGGCATCCTTGAACTTCATTTTTTGCAACTTGGGTGTATTCAACTGTGTCTGACTCTGAGGGCATCCAATATATCTTTGGAGAACGTTGACATTGCCTCAAGATGTCTGAGAAATGTTCTCAGGTTGTAATAGATCTACAGCCTGAATTTCTATAGTTTTCAGTTGAAATCAATTTCAGCCTGTCAGTCTCAAAAGTTTTGAGACTTTTAAGAAAGTGGGAAACAATATTTTAGGGAGTTAGACAGTCTGTATAATGTTGAAGTTTGGAGACATACATGTAGTCTAGACAGTCACACAGTTTGAGAGGCATTTGGCACAATTGTTGATGGTTGTTGCCAGTTCTCTCAATGTCTCTGCACATTCTAAATGCCAGCGGCGGCTGTTTTATGCCAGTTTCTCCTGTATCCGTCTGCATTTAATAAAAGTCTCACCATGCATGTAACATCATTGAAAAATGGGTCAACATTAAAACAGAATTGTAGGTACCTGATAACATTTCTCTGAAAGGCCCAAACCAGTAACTGTGGATCTTACAATGCTGTAAAGATTGCAACAAAAGGTTGAAACAAAGCACTGTAAATGTAAATCACTTTATGTTTGTGGAACTATACTTTGCGGTGGCGGCAGGTGCAGCAAAAAGAAAGTCGGCAAATTATTCGTTCACGGTAATGACATGTAGCTTCGCAGTACAGAAGTGACCACGAAAACCGTGAATATAAAAGCACTGAAAAAAATTGTAATTTACAGTAACCATTTTCAAACTTTTCATCAATGACCTTTCAAGGAGTTATGTAAAAGGTTGACAGCCTACAAAATTATATGTACAATAACAATGATTGTATATGATAACATTTTAAATCTTTTACCTGTCAAGACCTGCACCAAGACCTATACATTGTACCCGATCTTAAACAAGTTTACATTATACAACCCTAAACAAACAAAACACACTGCTATACAAAGTGAAAAGATGTAGCCTTAGGCCAGGGCAGGGACCAGTTGGAGGTAAACAGGGACCCTATGCGGGCGGGGACAGATCCAGGTGGGAGGCAGGGTGATCAAAGCTGCCTGCTGTCTACTAACGCAGCCCACCTCCACTGAACTGATGAGGTGAAATAGCTGCATAATGTGTTTCCGCTGGGCCTCCTGTTGACTTTGCGTCAACAGTTATGCCCCACATACATGTTTATCATAAGCTCATGCAATACACTATGGGGTCGGTTTTGACTCCATATGGTAAGATTAGTTGCAGAAAAACTTCCGGTGGTTTAAACCATCTATAAGAGAACCCAATAGTCAATACTTTTAATAGATTTATTGAGAATAGTAGGAGTTACCCAGTCTGCTCCATCTATAAAGCTGTTTTGCACCTGTATATTGTACCTTACCATAGCATTAAAAAAACTATGCTTTTAAAGTTGTTTAAAGCATTACACTTTGAGTACAACCTGTTGTACCTGTACATCTAACTCTAGGGGGTGTGGATGTGTAGCTATGCAAGTGCAAACTGGAGAAAACTCTTGAAAAATGAAAAGTTTTAAGTTGAGACCTCTCTCTTTAAGCAGCATCATTACCTATTTGTATGATTATGATCTGTAGTTTGAAACCAAACAGGATAGAGGAAGTGCCTGGGGGACCAAAATTCAATCCCTTCTTTTTTTAGGTCAGCTGGCCATGGCCTCCTTACATACATGCCAAAGATTAAAGTTGTTGTTGCTAGTTCATGCTTTTTTATCTGCAATATATGTAAAAACACCATTTTTATTTTATCTTGATTTGACCAATCAAAGCAAAGAAACAAAGAAACAAACCCAAGAGAAAGAAGCTCTGAATCTTGATAGACGGAGGAACCTATACAAGTGACATGTTACTGTGGACTGCATGGAAGGATTGCCCTTGAACATGAGAACCACAGGAGTCAACCTTGACATTTTCCTTCAGGGAAAGGCTTCTATAAAAGTCTTATTTTATCGTCTGCAGGTTTAAGAGAAACAGGTTGATACAAAGGGTGCAAAGACTTCTCAATACCCAGAGTGGGGTACAATTTTGGCAGGAGCTAGACCCCGAACCTTATCTTGTTTTCTTTTTGAAAAATTGGCGGTGGCTTTTCCGTTGGCCAATGGCAACCAGCCTAGAATAGCAAAAGTGGGACATTTCAGATAACCCTATGTGAAAGATTCAGACATAAAACTCAGGCGTCAAACCCAACACACTTATCTGTTTTTATAGAACATACTATAAATCAAGAAGAGTTCACGCAAAATGCTTTCAGGCTGTAAAAGCGAGTGGTAGTGAAGCCACTTGAACTTAAGTATCAGGTAAAAGCTTTGCACTTTGAGCTCCACAGAAAGAGAGAGGGAGACAGAGGGATTATAGCTGTACATACTTGTGCTGTTTCTGCTGCTTTCTGTGCTTGCAAGGTGGTGCACAGCTGCTCCTGACAGTAATAGGAGTGAGAGTTGTTGACGCTGGTAAACAGGGTGCAACCGGGCTGCATTATTACGATCCTAGCTGCTTCCATGGCTATCTAGGGCAAAGATTCCTCATCTTTTGTCAGACCTTTAGCTGGCTTATGTCATTCAAGGAGACCGTATTTTAACAAATTAAATTTTATTTCTTCAAACCGTTCCCTGCATCCGGCCTGTGGCAATGAGTTCAACAAGGCGTTGATGAAAATCATATGTTGTTTTTCCATGTTTATCCACTCCACACTGTTCAAGGGTTTGTTTACATCAGAAGACACTTCTGATGATTACACACACTGTTATCGGATGTTATATATCAATTATTGTAGTGAAGATTATCATTATGGTATATTTTCATACATATAAGTTACAAATATGCCTTGCCCTTGCAATTCTGCATAACTGAATATTGCTGTAGAAAGCTATCAAGTGAAAGTTAGTATCCCAATTATCAGCCTTGATTAGAATCAGAAGGGACCTGCCAATATCTGATTCCTATCTCAGCTTGATTAGGCATGGTCTAGTAACTCTTGATGGGATAATCCCCAATTGATTTACCAATTGAAAGTGTTTTAATACTGGATCAAAGTGGATTGAAGGGAAAGTTGCTTTCTTGTTTTAAGTTCTTTTTGCTAATGTTACATGTCAATGTCACGTTGGGAAGAACAAGGAGCGCAAGCTTGAAGGGATGTCGGATGTATAATTTATATGACATAGTCACTGTGCACCAAATTAGTAGCTGTAGGACAGGACAGGTGCAGCCATATATATATCATTTGCTGTGAGGTAGGTGTGCTAATTTTTGGAAATCATTCCAAAGAAATGAGAAACTTTGGCCAAAGTTGCAAAGCTTTGGTCTACAATACGGTAGGGTTGTAAAAAAAAGGCCTAGTAATGGTTTAGAGAAACTACTACTACTACTAAACAAGCGGGTAAAACATTCTGGACATACCTGTTGTCTGTCGGAAGCTGAAGAATGTGTCACGACTTTACTGTGTTCACACAGAGCCCGTTCTTGTACCCATGCAACTGTCAGGTAAATGTGCCTCGGATGATACCAACCCAAAGGTGGGAAATCAAAATGAACCTTAAAGTTTCTTTCTTTTAGAGACCTACAAAGTTATACTATTATGTAGAAATGGATGAATAAAATGTTGGATTTTTTAAAAAGTGTGTATATTCATGTCAAATATCTGAATTCTGAAAATACAGTATAAAGACAAATGATACTACAAGTTGTTCCCCCCTTTTATAGTGCTTATGGTATAGCCGAACATCTCATTATTCAAGTAGCAAGATGTACAGCACTTCTACTAAGTTCTAGGAACAAGATGTTGTCACAGCAAAGTGTGAAGAAAAATAAATTCTCCCCAAGATAAACAAGGAAACAATAAATCCTAGAAGTAGACAGTTCTAGCTTCTTTAGTGACATCTTCAATTGATAGAAAACTACATGTATTTAGCATGGAGTTATAGCCATCATATTTTTTTTAGATATTGTTTTTTGTAAAGACTAAACTATATCCTGGTTATCAACCTATTTTAGCTTTACATGTGGGGTCTCTTTCGTCCTCTATTTGTTGACAGGACAAAAGTAACTCGGCAGCTAAAATAGGTATGGTAACCAGGCTATTAAAACTTCATGTATAGGATTGTGTTTTCTTTTTAGGAATGAGCTTTGTGAAGCCGGGAGCAGATGTGGGAAAATTCCCAGTTGCTTTTATCATGT